TACTGCCCTATGATTCCAATTTGTAGGAATTTTTCTTTTTTTGTGTTAACTCATTGGTATCTACTAACCTAATTAAATTTTGAAATTGCATCGGATCTTATAAGGAAAAATTCTCTTAATACTTGTTTTTTTATTTATTAGATTTAAATTTAAAATTTTATTTAAGAGAAATTAAATTTTTTTTAATCAGACAAACAAACATATAATTAATTCTAGTTTGTAAATAAAAAATAAAAAAATAAAAAAATATATATAATTTTTTTCTTTTCTTTCAAGCCAAAGATACAGGGATGCAAACAAACACCGTATTTTGAAAAAAACTATAGTCCAAAGACAATGTGTGGTGCAGAAGTAATTGATTGGGTAAGGACTAAGAACGTGTTTGACGGTGTGGTTGGAGCACACGTAATTTTGTTTGAATCACTTAATTTATTGTTATTTTATTTATTTATAATTTTTTAAAATAATTAATTATAATATTTAAAAATATTTATTTATAAATTAATTTTAATTTTTAAATAATAAACATAAATTATTTTATTAATTATTAATTATTTTTAATAATTAAATTAAATTAAAATTTTAACTACACGTTACTTTAACAAATTTAAGTATAACGATAGCGATAGTGATAGCGTGTTTGGAACATAGTTAGGAGAACGTTTAAATCCAACAGAAAAGAGACGCTGAGCTGGATTTTAAATCTTAAATCCTATATCTTAAACTTTAAACCCTAATCTTAAGCGCGACAAAATGACAAAGAAAAAGAAAAGAAAGAACAAGATGGAAAAAGGGAAGTTTACACCTTTACCCATACTCCAGCTGGAAATACATTCCAAAAAAGACAAGAATCGAACATCAATAATGCACCAATTTTAAAATGTTAAATCCTTGACTGACCACCATCCCCTAGACCGCAACAATCGTCCACATTTTGTAGCATTTACCCGAAAAACCATGCGATGATTGATATGTGCATGCCAGATCATATGATTAGCATGTTCCTTCTTTCTATTAACTTATTAATTATCCCTTCATTTTCTTTTTAATTTGCCACGTCATCCTGACCCACTTTGACATGACATCCCACTCCAATTTATTATTCGTA